AGGACCACATGGAGATGGGGATTGAACCTATGTTGACCCCATGCAAGGCAAGCACCCTATCTTCTGTACGATTGCTCAGGTCCCAGATATATTGTTGAATTTGCTGAATAGAAGAGACCAGTCCAATGTGGTTTCAGTCAACATAAATACAGATTTTCTTTGTTTCTTTTCGGAGGGCACACCTAGCAGTGCTCAGAGGGTACTTCCTGCTCTGTGCTTGGCATGGGAGGTCACTCCCTGTGTTGTTTGGGAGACCACGTGGTGTCAGATGTGGAACTGGCCATCCTGCATGTAAGGCATTATTCCCTCGAGCTATCTCTCTAGCCCCATGGTTTTTCTTATAAACAATGTAAACTTAATATACTAACAAATACAGTACATCGCTATAAATATATATATTTCTGCTTGCTGTAATTTTCATGGTTTATTTTGGAGCCACACCTGGCAGTGCTCAGGGTTTACTCCTGACTGCATTCAAGGATCACCCTTAGTGGGGCTTAGGAGACCACATGGGGTGCTGGGAATGAACCTGGGTCGGCTGCATGCAGGCAAGCGCCCTGCCTGCTATACTAATGCTCTGTCTCTATAATTTTCTTAATAGTGTTTTCTTTTCTCTAGATTACTTCATTGTCAAATTATAGCAAACAATAGACAGAACTTACACAACATGTGCTAATCAACTCTTTAAGTTATGTTGGCTTTCAGTCAATGGTAGGCTGTAAGTAGTTAAGGTTAGGGGGAAATAAAAAGTTTTACAAGTTTCTTTGATCAGGAACCAGTGCCTTTAACCCCTATTTAGTTCAAGGGTCAATTGTGCGCAGGTCCTCATATAGAATGTTTGAAAGCCAGCAAAACTAGCCTATGCTGTTGGAAATCATAACAGTGGCCATCCTTGGGGAATGGGGTTAGGTGTAGCATCCTTGGGCAATAGGGCCATGAAGGAAATTTCTTGAGTGTTGGGAATAAGAGTGCTCTGTTTCTTAATCTGGGTGCTGCCTCTATATAGGGTTGTTCACTTAATGGAAATTCATTGAATGCCATATTTATCACGGATGAATTTCATTATAGGGATAGTGTACTTCAATAAAATAATTTTGCAAAGCCATTTTCAAGATGACACCTGCTGCAGGAAGCCTCCTCTGACCACTCCCTCAGAGATTTACACTGCTGCTGTGGACCTCTTCACCCCCTGCCCCTTAAGCAAGCTTGGTTTGCCTTGGGTGTCTTTACAACCAGTTTCTCTGGTCTTCTATGTAGCAGTCGTACACTGATCAGCCTCTGGGTTTCAGGCACCAGCCTGTGCATGTATGGGAACCCACCACTAATGAGGACCATCACCTCCATGGTCCTGGCACTCTGCTAGGTACTTCATGTGTGCCAGATTTACCAGAGTCTCTCATATTCTGACTTCCCAGCTGAGGTTACTGAAACTCAGAGAAATGAAGGGTTCTACATAGGCAGAGTCACAAAGCCAGCAGCAGTAAGTGCAAAGTCCAAACCCAGATCTATGACTGAAGGCCCATTTGGGTTGCTGCTCTCAGAGTTCACAAAATTGCCTCCTGCACTCCCACTCACCAACAAAGGAATAGATTGAGAGAAATTATGGCTGTGAGTAGCATTTGGAGGGAGCATTTAGGAGAACAGAGGAGAGTAAGGAGGAAGAAACTTTTGGAGGGCTTTATGGAGGAGGAAGCCCATTTGAACTGAGCCATGCAAGGGAATCAGGATTTCTCCAGGTGGAACTGAGGAGAGTTTGAACCACAGTGAGAGTTAGGGATGTTATAGGAGAGAATGATGATGGAATGGTGGGTATCGTGCTGTGGCAGGGGATGGATCAGAAAAAGCCATAGAAGCCCCTTGGCAGCCATGCCTAGGAGCTTGGGTATTGTCCTGTGGGCAATGAGGACTCGTTGAGTGTCCAAAGTGCACACTGGTGGGGGTATGGTGTTAGGGGTACTAGATGTGTTGCCATAGGAGATGGGGTGAGGGTCCCAGGAAAGACTGGAAGAGGGAAGAGTTGAGCATCCAAATGGGAACCTAGATTTCTCTGCAATTCCCCTGGCCGGAGATGTAGGGTGCGGTGCGACACCATCATGCTTAGGGGAGCTAAGTCTCAGGACAAATCCCTTTCTATTTCTACCTGCCAACAGACCAAAGGGAGTGAAGAGAGACTGAAGGAGGCAAAAATTTCCAAAGTCTATGAGGATTAGGTCCTTCTCCCCTTTACAGTACATGCTCAGTGCCGCATCCTGACCTCTGCCATCTGGGAGGCCCTATGCCCTCACCCCTGCCTTGCTCTGTTGCCCAGAAGGTCCCTCTTTCCAAAGCTATGTGTCTCTGCCCCAGAGAGCACTCTCATCCATGGGCCAAGTCTTTTGATGTGATTCAGATTCTTCTAGTGCTTTTGAGATGAGTTGTGGAACATGAGAGTGGAGGGAGAAAGGATTAAGACTCTGAAGATGGACATGTGTTGGCTTGGATCTCACCTCTGCAGCTTATTGGCTGTGCCATATTAGGTTAAGTCCCTTACTTCTCTGAGTCCTGAGTATGAAATAGGGAAAAAGACAATGTCTGCCCCTATCTCATCAAGTTGTCAAAGAGAGATGGGTAGAACTTCCGGTAGAGAGCCTGGCAGCTGGCAAACCTTCAGGGCTACTTAGGTCTAGAATCAAGGCCGCCTCTTTCATATGGAGTGCTCCTCACCCCCTCATGTGCACATGTCTGTGAACATCAGAGTATTTTTTTATTATTTGGGTCAACAATATGACCTCCTGAGGTGGTAGATGAAGGGGTTGTTTCCTTTTACTCCCAGAGGAAACTGAGGCCCAAAAGCCAGTGAGAAACCCAAGGTCCTTAAAGTAGAACCTTAGAGGATTCTTACTCAGCTTTTGTGGCTCTGCCTAGCACAGTCTCCATTTGGCAGGCGAGGCAGGATGAGAAGATGGAGGCCTTGTGTGCCTCTGTGCGTTCCCCTCCTCCATATCACCTGTGAGAGGAAGGGACTTACCCAAGGTTGCTATGCAAGGGGAGAGGGGAAGAGAAGTACATAAGTCAGACCTGAGGAAGGTACTGTTTCCATCTTCTTGAAGTTTGTTTTGTTCCCAAGGGTATTTCTGGGGTGCCAACTTAGAAGGTGGCTCTGAAGGCCACCTCAGGCTTTGGCACTGGTTGGGTGGAGTTTGCCTGGGCTCTTCTTCCTGAAAGGATGGGGTTATCAGAATGTCCCATGGGCCTAGTTTCTTCTGGAAGACACCTGGGGAAATCCCATAGGCCAGGTTGCCAAGTTTAGAGTCTGGGTCACAGAAATTGGGAACACAAAAGAGGGCTTCTGTGGCTTCTGTGTGACCCTGGATAGCTCTCCTAAGGTAGCAAAGGGGGTCGGTTTCGAAGTATCAACTTTTTCTCAGATTCTTTTCCCCAGCTTAGCTCCTCTGTGGTTTGGGGCCCAGTAGCATCTTGAGCGGGCTCTACTTCCCACCCCTATCAGTCCAGAGCTAGGGGAAGTAGGCCCACTCACAGTGCACTGACACTCATTGGCTGGGCCTAGCACAGGGGTGAGCAACAGCATTTGTGTAAAATTTCATGAGCCTCCTTCCCCCATACTGTTTTCACCTCCACTGTGACCTCAGACAGGCAAGTGGAGTGGGGAGAGTGAAGCCGGAAGTGGTAGACGCCCCAGGACCTGAAAAGGGACAGGATGCACACCCCAGTGCCTTGAAGCTGGGCTCCCAACTAGGTCAGCATCTGTGTGGAAGTTGCTCCCTGAAAAGGGGAGCTCCTGATAGGGCACCTGGGTTGATCTCCTTTACTAAAGGCCCTTGACCTTGGTCTAAGGCTAGAGCGGGGGCTACTTTGGAAGGGTTCTAAGATCTTTCTGGATGTGTAGGATGCACTTGCTGACTGGGAAATTCCTACAATCAATTCAAAGAAATGCATTTAGAAATCCTCAAATTCAGCTAGAGACACTGAGATCTTTCAAAGAGATCTTTCAAAGAATCTTCTATCATTTGCTTCAGGAAGATGAACACCTCAGTTGTCCCATGATAGTGGCTTCCCCGCCCCCCCCCCCCCCACATCCCAACCACTCAAAGCACTTAGGTTTTTCTCCTCAGCTCTCACTCCTAGTCCCCATCTTACCAGCTTCATCTCTTATTTTTCACAGTAATTTCTCATCCCTTGGGAAACAGTCTGTATACCCTCTGAAACCCATTGTATCTTTCAAGGTTCTTTCCCTGAGATGGAAATCAGCTCAGGCCCCTTCTCCAAGTTAACCTCATCTCCTCTGGGCCTGCTGGTCTCCCAGAGCAGAACCAACCAAGGGAGGTAAGTTTATTACATGACAAACAGGCAGGCTCCTGGGGGCAACCTGGCTCCAAGCTGTGTGGCCCTTTGTGTGAGATGGTTCCTGAGAGGCCGTGCTTAGGCCAAAGTGGTGCCAGGTCCAGAATCAAGGAGCAAAAATTCGGTACAGCCTTAGGTTTCGAATCAAGCATTGTATTTTGTGATTCTCCAGTTCTCATCTAGGACTCTAGGCCTGAATTTTTAGCCCTCCATCTTCTTGTTGTAGGGTTGAATTCTTGTTGTTTTGGTTGTTGGGCCACATCAGGCGATAAAAAGGCATTACTCCTGGCTCTGCATTCAAGAATTACTCCTAGTGGTGCTCAGGAGACCTTACGGGATGCCTGGGACTGAACCTAGGCTAGCTGCACGTGTAAGGCAAGTGCCCTACCTGCTGTCCTATCTATCTCTTCAGTCCCAGGGTCAAATTCTTTAACTCTTGCGTTCTAAGAGTCAATTCTGTAAGTCACCTCTTTAGAATGTGAAGTCTTTTCTATATGGCGGCTACTCTCTACCCCTGCCTTGTCCTTAATAGAATGGTTCTTGCCTACAGAGTCACCCTATGGCGTTTGGCTAGAGCCACTTCTAAGAGTCATGCAGATGATGGGCTGAGAAAACAGTGGGAAGGAAGGGAGAAGTGAGTTCCCGGAGATATGTCTCACCTTTTTCTTCTGAGTGGGCTCCTTCTCGCTGGCGTTGGAGGGTTTGCGGCGCAACATGGCTCTTTACCCTGCTGGAAGTCCGTCCTCGCTCTCCTGGGTGTCCCAACGCTGAGTCTTCTCGCTCAACTTCTTCAGCACCGCCTGGGCGGCACGGCATGGACAGAGCTCCTCCTTGCCACTCTGACTGCGGCAGAGGCAGCTTGTGGGGTACAGGCCATGGACACCCTGCGGTGCGGTGCGGCAGCATACAGGAAGCCCTCCCACGTGACCTGCTCTTACAGCAATCGCAGCCACTGCCGGCCCTTGGGGGAGGAAGGAAGTTCAGGCTTCAGTCTCCAGAGATTCTGGGCCAGCCGGCTCTTGGGTTGAAGAAGCAGAGAAAAGTCCCTCACCTGCCATCTCACGTCCTTCTGCTCTGTCGTTCCGGAGACAGTCTCTCACCCTGACATTGTAAGGCTCACTCCAAGCCTGGTAGCTCACTAACGGGAAGCCAGAAGCCAGAAGCTGGACCCTGTCTCTGCCTATTGGGCCAATGCTACTGAGTCACCTTACATCACTACATTGCTCCCTGCCTTCACCCTTGTTGCTGTCACCCCTACATCCAGCACTCCCTCCAAGAGTGATCTTATACCCGATGACCATTGTCTCCAAGGTCATCTTCACAACCCTCATCACTAGAGGACCCATACTAGGGTTCACACCTGCCAGCCCAGGCAATTTCTACTAGTCCCCTTACAACCGTCAGCCTCACAGCCATCACTCTACACACATTACAGCCAGTCAGCCCCACAATACTTAGGTCAATAACCGTCATTGTTGTCATCCTCCACACTACAACCAACACTGCATCCCTGCACCTCAGCACCACCACACCTGCAGACCTCCCCTCTACCATCAGCGATCAACCATCATCCTCTCCAGAGCAACCTACAGTCCCCGCCCTCAGTCATCTGCCTCAATCTGCCTCCCCATTGCCACTGTGCCCCATATGGGTATCATCCTCACAGACACTGTCACTACAGCCAGTCACCCCCACCAACACCCTCATCCTTCCAGTCATCACTCCTATTGTTGTCAACACCCCACCGCCACCAGCTACCATTCCCACTGCCACCAGCCACCCATAGCCACCCACATCAGAGCAGTCATTCCTAGACTCAATATCTATATTTTTGGCAACCAGAGAAGCCTTCAGCACAACAATTGACATTTGTAACTTCACAGCCCCCAGAAATGGCTCCGTCACAAGGCGTTTCTCAAATGTCTAAGCATTGTTTCTAAAGTTCACTTTGTGGGTTCTTTGTGGTAGATATCTTAATAATAAATGACTTATTATTATTATTATTATTATTATTATTATTAGAAAATCAATGCATAGTCCTCACATACAAGTTTGCAAACACAGATAAACAAAGAGAAGAAATTCAAAGGTTCTCCATAATTTTTTCTGCATTGCTTGGATAAATATCTTATTGGGTTTTGAGCATCCATAAATATACACTAAAAAATAAAATTAAGGCCAGAGAGATAGTATAAGGTTTAAGATGCTTGCTTGCCTTGCATCCAGCCTACCCCATTTGAATCTCCAGTACTTCATAAGGTCCCCTGTGCACTGCATGGGAGCATGGTGTCAAGAATACCCACAGAGCACCACTGGGTGTGACTCCAATCCTCCCTCCCAAATAAGAAACATTTTAAAAGTTGGGGGGGGGGCAGGTGCAGAGAAATAGTACAGCAGGTAAGGAGCTGGCCTTGCATGCAGTCAACCTGGGTTCAATCTCTGGCATCCCACAGCCCCCCCCCCCCATGTCCCCACCAGAAGTGATTCCTGAGCTCAGAACTAGGAGAAAGCCCTGAGCACAGGTGGGTGTGGCTCAAAAAAAAGAGAATAAAAAATATATAAATCTTAAATCAGGCTCGGGAGAGATAGTATAGGGGTTAAGGTACTTGCCTTGCATGTGGCCAACCCCAGTTGGAATCCTTGGCACCACATACGGCCGCCTGAACCTGTAGGGGGTTCTCTTGAGCACAGAGCCATGAATAGCTCCTTGAGCACTGATTTGTGTGCCACCCCCCCAAATCCCTAAAGCTAAATACTTATTTTCTTTCGGGGCCACACCTGGCACTGATCAGGGCTTACTCTTGACTTTGAACTCAGGAACCACTCTTGCTGGGACCATATGGGATGCTGGAGATCTATTCTATATTGGCTTTGTGCAAGGCAAATGCCCTATCTGCTGTACTACTGCTTTCACCCCAAGTCATACACTTTTTTTTGGCTTCTTGGGTATGGCCAGCAATGCTCAGGGGTTATGGCAATGCTCCTGGTTCTGCACTCAGAAATCACTCTTGGCAGTGCTCAGGTGACCACATGGGATGCCAAGGATTGAACTGTGGCCGGCCACATGCAAGGCAAATGTTCTACCCACTTTACTATCGCTCTGGTCCCCCAAGTCATACGCTTTTAAAAGTGCAATTTGAACAGGGGAGTTAGTTGTAAAGGCTGCAGCTCCTACTCTGCATGTAGGATTTATGGGTCCCTGACATCATATGGTAGGGACAGTACTGTTAGATGCGAACCCTGCCACTGCCAAGCCAGGGGTAACTTTTAGCACCTCCAGGTATGGCCTCCAAACAAACAAATGTTTTAATGTTATAACCCTGGCAACAGGCAAAGAGACACCGCAGTGGTGGTGTTGCTGTTATTTCAGTCAGGATCTAAGCTGATGGTCCTTTGTTTATCCAAGCTTGATGTCTTGGGTGATGGTCAGAGCTGTTTCGTGCTTGGCACATGGTTTTTGTTTTTGTGCCACACCTGGCTGTGCTCAGGGCCTACTTCTGGCGCTGAGCTCAGGGATCACTCCTGGTGGGCTGGGGGGAGGGGGGACTATATGGGATACCAGGGATTGGGCCACACCTGGCCATGCTTAGGGCTTATTCCTGGCTCATACTTGGGCATCACTCCTCCTCTGGGGACCGTATGAAATATCAGGCTCAAACCTGGGACAACCGGATGCAAAGCAAGTGTCCTACCTGCTATACTATCACTCTGGCCCCTTACACAGGCAGATTCTTTTCCCATGCTATGAAATATTCTTCAATTCGGTGGTCTGTAATGGCTTTCAGGTGCCATGATTATGTCACCAGATCTTTCCCGATGAACTTGGGTTGGCTAAACATTTTTTTCAACTTTTCAAGCAAGCATCCTTAAGGTAAAAGGTCACGTCCACGATTATTTTGCTCTTAGATTTCCGGCAGGGGACTCCTGGGATAAAAGCTCTGTCTCTTTTCATTATGTGGCCCTTGTGAAACTGGGCCAGGCCTCTCCTGTTCCCAAGACGTTCTCGTGACTTCCTCTCCCCTCCCCCGCAGCCTGCCCCATGCCCTCCAACCACCTCTGTCGGTGTGAGCCTAGGAAAGGCCTGGTCGTTTTCGGAGCTGAAGTCTTGACTAGCCTGACTAGACCCTGCTCTGACTACTACGAGGATGCTGAAAACACGCTTAGATGCCGACAGTGCGCCTCCCAGGGGTCCGCGCTTTCAGCCAGAAAGCTGCTTGCGGTCGAGGAGGGGGGATGGGGGCAAGGCTCAAGCGCACAACACAAATCCCGCGTGGGGGGGGGCGGAGGTGGAGGCGGAGGGGGGGTGTCGTCTCAGGTCTTTGGGTTCAAAGAGAGCAATCGGGGTGACGGAAGGGGAGCGCCACAGGCTGCTGGCTTGGGGATGCTGCTGCTAGGGTCGGGGCATCTGGGTCTCGCGCGGGACTCGCGCGGGGCGGGAGTGGCGTGGAATGGAGTGGCATTGGAAGAATTCACACTTGCCGCGTCTGCGCTGTGACCTGGCTTGTGTCCCCCTCCCTCCCCTTGCTACCACCGCCACCACCACCACCACCATCACCACCGGCTGGCGCGCAGGATGTGCCGCGCTTCCTGTTTGCGCAGCCCCAGCAGCGAGCGGAGCTCACACACTAACCGCAGAACCTTCAAAGGCAGCCAGCAAAGCGAGCTGCAGGGCGGCCGCCCCCGCGAGGCCTGGGAAAAGGCGCGAGGGGGGCGGGGGCTGAGGGAGGGCGGGGCATGAGCGGGGACCTCAGAGAGAAGTAGAGGTGTCCGGGACCCAAGGAAGCTGGTTTATTTATTTATTTATTTATTTATTTATTTAGGCCACACCCAGCGATGTACAGGGCTTACTCCTGTCTCTGCACTCAGGAATTACTCCTGGGGGTGCTTGGGGGACCGTATGGGATGCTGGGAATCGAACCCTGGTGGGCCGCGTGCAAGGCAAACGCCCTACCCGCTGTGCTATCGCTCCTGCCTTGAAGCTGGGTTTTTTAGCTCTCACCTTCTGGCTTTTCAGATCTGTGTTCTCTGATCAGCCTTCCAACTCTGGGGGTCAAGTGGAACCCAAAGTGGACTTACCTCGCCTCCAACTTTTCTCTCCCAGTAGATTGTTCTGGCCCAAGTCTCATTAAGTCTGACCCCAGCTAGCTAAAGGGGTCTCAAACATACTTTCACAATAGGTTTCCCCTTTTAGGCAATATCTATTTTACAGGTTCTGTTCCAGACACAGAGGCCTCTGCTTAAGACCTGGTCCTGGCCAGTCATTCAGTAAACAGGGCTGTCTTGAAGTTGATCATGGGAGGAAAGATGGGGGCCCTGGCAGCTAACTCTGGGTTGAGTTTCGGGCGAGGCACTTGGAGGAGCTGTGAGAAAAAGAGTTGTCAAGGGCCCTTGCACCTGGGCGCTTACATCCGGGATGCGATGGCAGGCTTACATTTCCTAGCCTGTGTTCTTTGCCAAGCACTACATTAGGCACTTCACCAGCATTATTTAATCCTGCCACAAGCCCATGAGGTAAGTCATTTAAATTGGGAGAAAGATGGCGAAAATGGATGCTGTCTAAATACTGGAAAGGAGAGCCTTCTGCCTTAATATTTTGGGATTGTGTGCACGTGTGTGTGTGTGTGTGTGTGTGTGTGCATGTGTGTGTCGGGTGAGTTGAGTGATAGTGAGATCTGGCTGAACTCCAGAAGGCAAACACAAGGTTGCCAAATACACAAAGAATTTGACACCTAACTTTCACATAGAGCAATCACTCCTCTAATTTTGTAGATATCC